AGAAATATTTCCTTATCTACATTTGTTCTAACTGTGATTACCTCTTCCATCCCCTCGTTACTCGATCTTTAGGTTGTTTAATTAGCAATAATCGCGCCTCGGATAAACCTCATTGGCTACGATACTGCCACTGCGCAAAGCTGATCTTTAGGTTGTTTAGATATCACCTTCTCTTAGATGTTTTCCATGATTCCCCTACACCTAAGCTTCATATTGTATTAAGCACCCCTTTTATTTTAACAACTTTTAAAGTTTAATAGTTTGATGTTTATTGTCTGTGTCCCCTAATTAGGCTTTAAGTTCCTGGAAGGAAGGAAAAATATATTGTGCATCAGCACAGTATCTAGTACAAAGTTGAAGCTTAATAAACAATGGTAGAATGAATGATGCATTAGTTAATAAGCTACACAGAACAGAAAATAAACTTTTTGTACTTTAGAAAGTAATACCCATTATACATTAAATTCCAATTTTATTTCAGCATTTCTAGGTATTAAGTCCACATCCCATCACGATAATTCTAAGACAGGAATGGTTTGGGATTTTATTTTATTTTTTTTACAAATATTTATCATGGTTAAATAGTCTCTTAAAGAGTATGGTAAATATTTTAAAATGTTAGATAAGAATTAATATGAGAATAGCTTATTTTAGATATTCTAGTTAAAAAAACTTTTAAAGCATCAAGTTGATGCTTGAGGATTCTTACATCTTCCTTGTCTTTTTGAAAGAACTATAAACTTGTCTTTAAGTCAGAATTTTTTATTAAATTATTTTAGCAGGGATATTCTCAAATGTGTGTACACACACACACACACGAGAGAGAGAGAGAGGAGAGAGGCTTTCTATACATGAACAGATAGAAAGAGGGGAAAAAAGGAGATGGATTGACAAAACTATGAAGGTTTTAATACCTGAAAATACAGTGAATTAGAAGAGTTTGCAACACCAGCAATATAACTGTCTTGAGGAAACCCCTCTGTGGCTTTCTGATGGAAAATAATAGACAGGATTTACTTCCGTATGGGAAGCTGAGATAAAGCTATCTTGATCTCTCCATTTCATATAGGCTTTCTAATTGTGTATTGCTCTTGATAAGTTTCACTTTTAAGATACCATTTCCACAACTTGAAAGAATTCTAAGATGATACTGAATACCCTTACTTTTCTTTTCCTCCGCCATTGTATTGCAAGCAACTGAATTTTAAAGTTAGAGAGTTATTTCCAATTAGGGAAACTAATGAGGATGCATATCCATGAAGATCTCAGGGGTGTATACGAGGAGTATATACAAGGATACCAATATGTACATACATATAGAGAGATAGATAGATATGAGGATCTCTCTCTCTGTCTCCCTCCCTCTCTCTCTCTCTCCTAATTACAGTTAGGTGATAGTAATATTGATCAATTATAAATTCAAGAAAATTTGTACTTATCTATAAAAATACATAATGTTAATAATTGAATTAAATGTATATGGGAATGGTCATTTGACTTGAAGATATAAGTAGCACTAGGATTTCTTGTAGCTACTGATTGTTTAATGCTGCAGGTGTTAATATTGCTTTGATGAAGTTGCTGAATACCACTGATGTCCATCTGGACAATTATTTCTAAGCACTTAATGTTGCTGTTACATTATTTCAAATAGTTCTTTGGTATATTCCTGGAAAATAACTTTGGACCACTTTGTCATCCTTCTTCACCTTTAATAACCTTGCCTTTTCTGTCATGACTCATCATGGTACTTGTTCTACACCAGGTACTTGTTTTACAAGTATATACTAAATGTTACAGGTTCAGTTTTTCCCCTTGTAGTCAAGAACATGCATTGCTGCTTAGAACAAAAATCTTCAGCTATTACATTAAGCATAAGTGGCTTATTTAATAGATTATAGGTCTGCTAGGACCATCTATTTTCTACCTTGTATATGTACTGTTATAGCACACGAGAAATATTAAAAGAGCAGAGGAATGTGCCATAAATTTATTATACTGATCTATTCTTTTTGCAGTGCCCTGAGCTCATATATTAAGTTGTTCTCTCCTTATAAAATAGTAAAGCCTAAACTAATCCCTTAATTTCTGGATTCTATTTTATCCAGTGCCACACAGTGTAGCAGTTGAGTATTTCTAATCTTCATAAGATTATTTCTATCATTTTGAGGACAAATTTTATGTGATATTTAATATATTATTTTCTTAAGTCTGCACAGACCCAGGCAGTACTAGATACCATAGTGAAAGACTTATTTTTTACGATTTTGAAGAAAGTACTGAAACATACTGATTTACATTGCACTTACTTTGCAGAGTGCTTTGCAAATAGCAACATACATAATTGTCCTAACAACCCAGTGAGATAGATTTTAACTCCACTTTATAGGTGTGGTAGCTGAGGCATAGAGAGGTTACGTAACTTCCCAAGGTCACAACAGGAGGAGTCACAATTAAAAAAAACAGTTGTCTGAATCTGAAGGCCATGCTCTTAACCATTCTATGTACCATATACATTAGAGTCAGCTCTGGTCCCACTTGCAATAGATACTCTCTAGTCCCTATACTTTGGGACCTTTGGTATTATAGTGCAAATGATAATCAAAATATTTGGGGTACAACACATTCTCAAAAAATACACATGTGTTAGAATGAATTTGTAGGTCAAGTCTATTTTTATAAAGCTTTAAGTTGATCAGAAATGTGGTAATTAAAAGCGTAAGTGCCTGAAAGTGGGCACTAGTGACTTGGATTTGAGGTTTTATATTCATGTAGAAACAGGAAGTAACACTTTGAGCTTCATGAGATAGGTGAGCAGATGAAACTGACTTAAACTACATCCTCAGTGAAATAGAGGAAATATTTTTTCTTAATAATGATCAAGTTAAAAGTGTATTTCATCTAATAATATTATAGTGACACCATTCTTATTTTGGTCAGTATTGAGCTGATTTAAATTTTTTAACACTTTGCCTCCAAATATTCTGTCACGGTATTTTAGTTACCCTCCCATTTGTAGTTTAAGTCTTTTGTGGGAAGAATAATGGCCCCAAATATGTTCACATCCTAATCTCAGTAACCTGTGAATGTTACCTCATATGACAAAAGGAATGTAGCATGTTATTGAAGTTATAGACCCTCAAATGGGGTTGTGATTATGAATTATCTGAGTGGGCCCAATTTAAGCACACTTCTCCTTAGAAGAAGACAAACTCTTCCAGCTGTGGTCAGGGAGAGACACATTCATGAGAAAAGGGTCAGAGATATAACATGAAAAGGGCTTAATCTGTCATCAGTAAATTTGAAAATGGAGAAAAGGACCATTTCCCAGGAAATATAGGCAGCCTCTAAAGCTACAAAAGGTAATAAAATCTCCTAGAGTCCACAGAGGAGAATGACCATAATCCTTCAGGCACCTTGATTTTAGCCCAGTGAGACTTATGTTGGACTTTTGACTAATAGAATCATAATATAATAAAATTATATTATTTTAAGGTACTTAACTTGTGGTTATTATAGCAGTAAAGGAAAATTAATGGCCCTATATTATTTTATAGTTCATCTGACAATTTCAATTTTAAACTGGAATATTTAGTCTATTTACATTAATTGTAAAAACTTATTTTTAATAAAAACATTATACATATAATTTAAATTATATAAACATTTATTTATTTTTGTATTTTTTTGTTTGGAAGGGTTTTTCTACTATCAAAGTTAATAAACAATGATCTAGGTCACACTATTTGAACTTAAAAAATAAAAACTCATCTTTACTGAGGTAAAATGTACACATAAAATTATACTTTTTACTTTTATTTTTTATCTTCATACCCATTTATTTTTCAGACATATGTTGATTTTCACATATCAGCTTACTTATTTGCTTGTTTCTTGTATTTTGTCCTTCTTTCCTGACTATAGTTGGCTTTATTAAGGTTTTTATTTGTCTTTCTTCCCTTCTATTAGAGAGAACCTATATTCTTTCTAATGTTTTTCATATTAATTTATTATTTATTATTTTTATTTTTTATTTTATTTTATTTTTTTTAGATTTTTTTTTTTTTTTGAAAGAGGGAGAGATAGTAAAAGAGAGAACACAAGCAGAGGGAGTGGGAAAGGGAGAAGCAGGCTTCCTGCAGAGCAGGGAGCCTGATGCGGGGCTCGATCCCAGGACCTTGGGATCATGACCTGAGCCGAAGGCAGACGCTTGATGACTGAGCCACCCAGGTGCCCCTAATTTATTATTTTTTTAAAGTCAAATTAATCTTGTATCTTTACCTTAATCTGGAACAATCCAAAGTATTTTTGCACTAATCAACTCAAACCCATTATTTTGGTTGCTATTTTATAGTGTTTTAAATGTTTTCAAATATCATGTTTTCAAATATCCTCTAAATTGTTTATTATTGTCATTGTGATATAATACAGTTACTAATTATATGAATTTTTCCATAGGTTTAGCTTTTTCTTTTTCCTATAACGGTTTCTCTCAGCTCACTCTTTCCCTGTAGATTTAATTTCCTTCTTAAGAAAGTCTATCCTTCAGTAATTCCAGTGTGTGTTCACTATAGAAAAAAATAAACTAAACACACACACAAAAATCAGTAATGGAGGAAATGAGGAACAAAAAAGGTATAGGATATGTGGGAAAAATAACAAAATGGCAATGGAGTGTCCTTCCTTATCAGAAATTACATTAAATATACATGGATGAAACTTTGAAATCAAAAAGCAATAATTGACAGAATGGATTTTAAAAATTTAATTTAAATGTCATCGTATATTTGTCCAAATTCAAAGAATGTCTAACATCAAGAATGAACCCTAAAGTAGACTGTGGACTTTGAGTGATTATTATGTGCTAATGTAGGTTCATCAGTTTTAACAAATGCACCATTTGGTGATGGATGTGTATAACTGGGTAGGCTACGCATGGGTGGAGGACATGGGGTAAATAATAAATCTCTGTACCTTCCCTCAATTATGCTTGAATATAAAACTGCTTTCAAGTGACTTAAAATATGATCTAAAGTGAGCAAGTAAGTTCAAAGTGGAAGGATTAAAAAAAGTTATTTCATGTAACTGTTAGCCAAAAGAGAGCTGAGGTGGCTACACTAGTATCAAAGAAAACATATACCT